TTTTTTTTTTACTTTTGGGGTTTTTCGGGTTTTTGGGGGTTTGAAAATGATTTTTTGGGGGGGATTTTGGGGGTTTTTGGGATGGGAGTCGAAGGGAAATGGTGACTCGACGATTTCCATCGGGTTTTCCACGATTTGGGGAGTGAATTTGGGGTTAGGAGGAGTGAATGAACTTATGTGATGGTTTCTCCACGTTTTCAAGGGGGGGAGAGGGGCGGGGCGACCCCTGGGGGTCACCTAGAGTTGAAGCCAGGTGTTGCCGGGAGTAAACACTTCCAGACGCGTGGATTTTGCTTGGAGTCTCGGATTTTTTCATGAGATTGGGGGATTTTTTTTTCGGTTAATCTAGGGGAGTCAAAGTATTTTTGACTCGTGTGTAAATTCGTTTGCATTTGAATAAAAAATTTTATGTGCGATTTTTCGATCGCTAGACTCTTAAAAATTTTCTAGAGTAAATCTTCCATCGGGGAGTATTCGATTTAGGGGAGCCTAGGCGTGTGAAAATATTTTCAAGTCACGTAAAAACTTTTCTGGGAGACAATAATGTGTATATTTGTTATTTTGACCCCCCTAGACCCTGAAAAATCCCCTAGATTGAATATTCCCCTGGCCAAAATTCGATTTAGGGGAATCTAGGGGTGTAAAATTATTTTTTGGTCATGTCCAAACTCGGTTGCATTTGAAAATAATTTTTATATATTTTTGTTTGCCGCCTAGACCCTTAAAAATCCCCTAGATTAATTGTTCCGTTGGTGAGTAGGAGATTTAGAGGAATCTAGGGGTTGTGAAAATATTTGTAAGTCACGTGCAAATTTTTTTCCATGAGAAAAAAATTTTTACATGTCTTTCGTCGACCCCCTAGTCATGTTCAAACTTTTTTGCACTTGAAAATAATTTTCACTGATGATTATTCGCCCCCTAGACCCTCAAAACTCCCCTAGATTAAATATTCCCCTGGCGAAGACTGGATTTGAGGGAATCTAGGGATGATAAAATATGTTTAAATAATGTGCTTTTTTCCGTGCAAAAAAAATTGGACATTTCTTCCTTCGATCCCCTAGACCCTTGAAAACCCCCTAGATTGAATAGTCCCCTGGTAAATATTCGATTCAGATGGATCTAGGGGTGTCTAATCATTTTTCAGTCATGTATCAACTTGTTTCTCAATTCAAAAAATTTGCAGCCACTAATATTTCACCCCTAGACCCTTAAAAATCCCCTAAATTGAATTTTCCTCATGAAAACTCGATTTTCTCACGAACCACTGGAGCTAAACGGGCGATTTTTTTTTTGATTTTGTGGAAAATTTTGTTGTTTTTGCAATGGCACTGGGTTTAGAATTTTCGCGGTGACGAGGGCTGAGATAATGAGAGATTTCAATCGTTCGATATTGATTTTAGTTGAGGAAATTGGACTTCCCAGATTATAATCTGGCTTTGGGACTTTGAACGATCGCTGATTGGGGTTTTCTTGTCTCATTTCAGGGAGTATTGTTGTGAATGAACCTTTAAAGACTTGTGTGGACGAAACAAGGGATTTATTGTTGGTAAATTAAACCTGAGAATACAATTATGGAGGACGCCCACGCTAAGTCAGTGGACGAGGTGTTGAACTACTTCAATGTTGACTCTGAGAAGGGTTTGTCACCGGATCAAGTCAAGAGGAATCAGGAGAAATATGGTCTCAACGGTAAGTCACCAATTCCAAAGGATTTCCCTTCATTTTACTCAATTCAACCACAAAATTCCGAAACCAAACGTTCTTCATTCAGAAATGGGTCATCTTTGATCGTCAATAGCTCGAGATCGGCTGAGTGAAATTCCATTATTTTTCTTTCATTTTGAAGGTATTTTTTCAGAGTTTAAAATGAGCTCTAATTTTTTCCAATCGCATCGTTGAGTCAGGAGATATTGATGATTGAAGAAAGCTCATTCTAATTTGCCCCTGCCTGAATCAATCTCTGTTTTTCGCAAATATCTCAAGAATCAAGCGAGATACCGAAATTTTTGTAAGGACCTTTTTTGTAGCCCTTGAAATCTCCCACAAAAAAGTTCCTTACAAGTATTTGGCTAGCTCCCTTCGTTTCAGAGATATTGAGCAAAAACCAAAGTTACGCGGTTTTAGATGCATCTTCGTGAAAACAAAACGTCTTTTCCTCATGCAAAAATGATGATTTAATCTCCGGTGTCTCCCATGCTGTTATCTCTCTTGTGATCATAGAATAGGGAAACAAAGTCCATTGCATATTGTTATCAGTCTTTTGGCGCAGCTTTATCTGCACCTTATGTCATCAAAAAACGAGTCAATACTAACGAAGTAGTAATGATCTAAATAAAATGTTTCATTGAGTTATACCTCGAAATCACAAAAAAAGACGACCCATTTTCCCCTGTTATCTCAGCAAAACGGTTTTAGATGTTTAGCGTTGTTTAAGGAACGATTAGGACAGACGGATTCTTTTTTTGAATTCAGTGGGAATTTTTCCTGGCTTTTTGATGTAGTAATTATCGTTGAGCCACTGTTGATAGCTCCCGAGATAATTGGATTATCATGAAGAGACTAATTACTTTGAACTGTCAATAAATTCTTCGCATTCTTATTTAGTGTTGAGTGTCAGAAATATTTAACAGAAAATTTTGGCATTTTTTTCAACTTGTTTTTTACGTGTGAAAAGAGTGGAGATACGAGTCATCATGTTATTTTTACTTTTCGATGATATTTATTATTTATTTAATGTGAGCAATCGAGTGATTTCAATTTCCGTACGATTGATTTAGCGGGAGATGATATCAAATGCATAAAAAAAATTGTTCAAAGGTATGAAAAATAGTGGGAGCAGTTGGGATTTTACGACTCGAGGAAATCCAAAAATAACTACTATCGATAGGAAAAGTGGAGTAAAAATATTTCACGTGTATTTTCGTCGCAGAAGTCAATTGTAATGTTGACAATTGACCCTTCAAGGCTCAACCGACGATCGAATTGAAATAATCCTCAAAATTCAAAAATAATAGGACGGCCTGATGGACGGAGGGGAAAGGGCTGAGGGGATGAATTTTGAATTCCACATTCACGTTACAATTGACTCTCGTGGAGAAAATATACGTCAAGTATTTTTTCACTCACATTTCCCATCGATAAGACTCACTTTTGGATTCTCTCGCCCCGTGAATTCCCAACCACTCCCACAATTTCAGATGTTCTTCAACAATTTTTTTTATCCACTCGATATGATCTTCCGCAGAATCAATCGCATGGAAATTGGAATCACACAATTCCTCACGGCAAATAAATAACAAATATTATTGAAAAGTAGAAATTGCGATGAGTCACAGAAAAAGTGTGACCCACTAGTTTACCGACGTTTCTTCAGTTTCATTAATTCTAATTTCTTGTCCTGGCTCTAGAGCTACCGAAATGCTTCGGCTGTCATATCCCCCACGTCTCCGAGGCGGCCCACAGACCGAATTAGAGCCTCATATTCCGGATATTTTCGTTCTTACCACTAAAATCCCGCATTTATCGCTCACTAGTATTTTCTCATCCACAAAAACCCATTTGCAGAGATGAAAATAAATTCTGAACAGTCATTTTCGTGTCTAATTGAAGAAGATATTGTTTCCCGATTTATTTGCGTTTCCAGTGATTTCATTGCATCCATCGAATTTAAATTCAGACATCGAGTTTGTTTACACAAAACCCCCACAGACTTTCGTCACCCAAATAGGACTGGAATAATTGCAGTCGAGTCATTCGCGTTCGATAAAAACCCTTTGTAGCATCGAGATTATAATAATCCGCGTGTTTATTTGTCGATTTAAATTATCCCTCACGCAATTTACAATTTTAATTTCTATTTTTCATGTCTCAACCTTAAATTCATATATTTTAAATCATCAATTGAATCAAATGACGAATTGAATTACTCAAAATTCATGTAAATTAGACTTTTGAAAAGAATTTCAGCGAAAAACTGTGGAAATTCTTCTGTTCTCATTTTTTTCTCGTTACTTTTACATGAAAGAGTGACTGAGAGCCAATGAACTTTGTAAAAGTGGTTGACTGAAGTTTGTTGTAGCCTCGCGTGTTAAACTTTGCGATTAGAGTTCGTGGGGTCAACGATTCTAGATCACTTCAATCACTCTTTCTTCCCCTTCCATTTATTTTCCACGAGACGGTGAAAATTATGAAAAATATTATGAGTTTTTATTTCTGATGAAAATTTCGCGAATATTTTTTTTTGTCATGCAACGCACATGTGTCGTGGTAGAGCTGATGAGAACGGCTCTTTCGTAAGTGCGGACCGCACACCTGACGTGGACGATAAGTTGGCGCGTAAGCAACCACGTCAGGGCATCGAAGGTTGATTCATTATTAATGAAAGTCGTGAGACACCATTCGCTGTGAATTCCGCTATTTTTCCGTTTAAATGGTCACGTGGCGGCTGAAAACAGTCGTTCCACGTGTGAAATTCATCGGAAGTCTCGGGCAACACTGAGGGGATGTTGAATAATGCTAGGTTGTGATAATTGAGATGGGAAAGAGTAAATAAAATAGAATGATGAAATAGGATGATGAATGAAGCTTCAAAATGGAGCAGTTTTTTTATTTCTCACTATCGGTGTCGATGTCTCGATCTGGTCTGATTAAAAATGATGCGATTTGAATAAATTTGTAGGTTTTTGAAGTTCATAAAAAATGTTGTAAAATGACTTAGGATTTTTTTAATTTCACTCTGCCGATGTAGAGTTATCGATGATTAAAAATTATTGCGCACACTTAAAAGAAGGTTTCGGAGGGGAAAAATATTATTGATTTGTTCTGACTAAAAATGATGCGATTTTAATAAAATTATAGGTTTTTATAATTTATCGAAAAGACTCTAAAATGACGCAGGATTTTTTTAATTTCACTCTGCGGATGTAGAGTTATCGATGATTAAAAATTATTGCGAACGCCTAGAAGAGCTTTCGGAGAGGAAAAATATTCTTGATTTGTTCTGACTGAAAACGATACGATTTGAATAAATTTATAGGTTTTTGGAATTTATGAAAAATGCTTTAAAATGACTCAAGATTTTTTCAATTTCACTCTGCCGATGTAGAGGTATCGATGATTAAAAATTATCGCGCACGCCTAAGAATAAACTTGTTAAACGCAAGAACATTCCCTCAATTGTTTTATTTCTAACGAAATTCGTCATCAATCCCTCCGGAAACAAACTCCGAAGAAATCCAAAAGTCAAGTTTAATCGACGTAACGTCTTCATTACCCCATTCCCTCCCAATCAAAACCCCCCGTTGCATTGGCTGCGCCGCAAGCCGCGTGGGCAGTTTCCATCGCTTTGTGGAGCAACATAAGCCGCCCAAATATTTAGACACGACTCGACACCGATGAATAGCCCCTTTGATACATCCAAAAACCTCACAAATCTTCTCAACAATCCCCTCTTTTCAAAATCGCCCCAGAAACCCAGATAAAAATTCCCAAAAAAAATTACGAATCAATCGTAGAATTCTCACCCCTTCACGCACTAAAAATAAATAAATAAATGAATAAATAAATAAATAAACATATAAATAAATAATCCTCTTCTATTCAACGAAACCCATGCACATAAATTCTAAAATTAACTGTCACATTTTTTTTATTCACGACGAAGATTTGTTACACGTTATAAAAAAAAAAGCTTCACCATGGCTTTGTGTGTCCGTCCTTGCGCTTACGCTCACTGTCGCGTAACAAATCTGTAACATCAGTGTGTGCCTCCCCTCGTACTAGAGCTGATATCGGTGGAAAAACAGTCTTCAGCAATTTTTTTTATCATTTTTTCACACCATTTCCTCTGATTCCCATAAATTCCCAAAATTCCCTAGCTGGCGAGTGGGGGTGGGGGGTTGAAAGTCGTTTCATCGGAAAGGACGGTACATTTGCCGCAAAATCATTAAAAAATCACCCGTTTTGCCCCGGGGGTTCATGTGAAATCGGCGAAAAACGATTTTAATGAAAAAAAAAATTGTTTCTAGGGATTTTTGGAGAACTGGGGGAAATGGGAACTTTTTTTTATTTTGTGGGGAATTTCCCGCGCTGTTCAAGGGCGCCAAGTTTGAATTTTCGAGGGGAGTCAGAGGATTTATAGAAGATTTTGATGTTTTCATGGAGAATGTGTTTTTTTTTAAACTCCAGGGACTGAGTTCAGGGAGAATGAATCGGTTGTCATATGCCGTTGGACATCCCCTGACCCTATCGATCCTCTTATACACCCTTTGACGCATTAAAACACGTGTATACCCCACATACACCATATGCAATCATTATTCATTCAATCGGAGAGGTTGATGTTGGATTAAACGGAAATTTCTTGGTGAGAAAATATGGGTGAATGGGTTTTTCACGTGATGCTGATGGCAGTATTCGTTGTTTCGATTATCGAAATACACGGAGAGAAGAAGTAGGAGAGAAATTACTCGAACAAGTGGTGGGAACTCGATTTCCAGTAAATTTTTCTCCATTGGCCCGGAAAAGTTTACTGAACGCGAGGGCAATTTGTACCGAAACTGTCAAATTTACCCTGCATTTCATCAAAAATTATCCCAGTGAACGTGAATGATTGCTCAATATTGCGTATAATTTTTCTGTAACGGAGAATGATTTTTTACCGAACGCGTTCGGTAAAATTTCACTTCCACTCGTCCCCACGACCTTCAGATGGCTGTAAGAAAAAAAATACCCCACCGGTGTGGGAAATTTTACTGTACAGGAGGATAATTTTTGCATCTATAGGTGTTTTTTTTTACCAAACGAATCGTAAAATATCCTCCACAAACAGGTATTTTTTCATTGAATTACATTTCGCCCCACGATTACCTTTCGTACAGTAAAATTGGCCACGATTTTCTAGGTAATTTAAATCCAACTTTTCTCCCCGTGTAGTATATTTCAGGACGAGTGCCCATGGGGTTTTTTACTCGTGTGGAGTTGGCGTCCGAGCCGAAGGCGAGGGCTTGCCAACCACATGACTAAAAGAACCCCATGACACTATTCGCGAACGATATTTTTCCGTAGTGATTTTCACTTTTACGAGTTTGGGGAAGGGCCAGTGCCAATCCCCGGACGGGAAAAAGTGAAGAGGATGAAAACAATTTTTTGTTAAATAGAAATAATGAAGTGCAATGTACATCCACTCGTCCGCGTATCGCTAATTCATTAGCAAAAAAGCTACAACAGACTAATGAAACGAAATGATTGCTGTGTGCGGTGCATCTTTCAATGGGATTAGAATTTTCTATCGGACGAGGGGTGCTCGATATGCTCCAGACGTCTGAACTGGGTCAACTTAAAGCGAATGATCCTGCAATGAATTGCAATTTCAATAGTTTCCGGCCTGATGATGCATCCAAAACCTTTCATAAACATCACTGTTCTCTGAATTTCATCACCCATGCAATTTTTCACCGATTTGTTGAACATTTTTATTGATTAATCGAGTGACAAGGTAGTTAATTAATCTGTCACATGCACTCATAATTGATTTCAACAACTTTTTGTTACAGAATTGCCAGCCGAAGAGGGTAAGTTAATACCAAAACCAATATTAACGTAAATAAATGTGAGACCTCGATATCTGTCCCCCTTCAGGGTTTTAATAACAGTTTATACCGCGATTCTTGGATGTTGGGGCGTGGAATTAATAATAGAACACTCTCAGGTGCGACGAGAGAACAAGAGGATGATAATGAAGGGGAAACAGAATAGTAGAGACTCATCTGTCTCAATTTCCCCTTGACCGACGTTTCTCAGCTTCTATTCATATTCATTCCATTGTACATAATGTCAAGATGTTTCTCGACTCAATGAATTGTTTATATGCTTGACACTTCGGCTAAATTTTTTTTATGTATTTTAAAATTATGAGGAATTATTGTTTTTATCTCATCAAAAATTCAATTTGAAATACAATTTTTTAAAATAGTTTTTTCCATGGTTGGAGCTTATGGAGAGGTGTTAGGGGGTCTAAATTGACCCCATGAGGATCGGAAATTTTGTATCTAATTGAAAAAAAAATTGTCTATTTTAGTTCAGTGGTTTTCTTAAAAGTTTTTTCACGTGAAATTTTTTTTGAAGAAATCTAGAGAAAGAATGGGGTAAAATGGGCTATTTTTTTTATTCAGTGTTCAATTCCTCGATCTATAGATAGAGTTGTGAAAAAGATGAGAAATTATTTTCTCTTCAACAAAAAAAATCAATGGAAAATCAAAATTTTCAAAAATCAGTTCATAAAATGCACAATTTTTCTTCCTTTCAATTAAATGTCATGAACCTCATAATCAAATTTTATTCGCCAACTAGTGCGCGGTTCAAAAATGTCAGAAGAGCTTAGGTTTCACCCGAGAATTGGATTTATCAATCAATGAACAGTGACACGCGATTTTATCATCTATTTTTAAATGGCTCCCTGTATTTCATTCACTTGAAATCTGCACTATTGAACCTATTGAATGTCCAGGCAATGATAGAAAATTTCATTGACATCTCTGAGGCCGCGGATGGCCCCGAAAAATTCCTCCCGAAGTCGAGGAAAACAAAATGCAATTTTCGAATGATGATTTGTCGATAGCCTCAAATTAATGAAATTGTCGACATCGCGTTGTTGCTGATGACGTCAATCGTACGCAAGGCATTCGCCGTCAAGGCCGGTTGGGACAGCTCTCTTAGTTCGCACACAGACTTAAACGAGAGTTGTTCCGCTATTTTCATCACGCGATAACAAGGACGCAAAATACTTCCGCATCAAATAAATTTACAAGTGGATGGCTATTTTTTTTTTGGTAAATGAGTTGCTGAATGAAATTGCGTGTAATCCGATGGAATGAATTCTGCTATTGAGGGGTAGAAAATGACCCCAGTCTGCAGATCATGATTAATGTCTTAATTTAATGAGGAAGGAAGACAATTCACTCCTGATGTATCCCGTTTTTGATGATTTACTTGAAATGCGGTTGTTTTTTTTTATTCTAAGTGAACATTCAATGATGCGATTTGAACAAATTTGTAGGTTTTTGTAGCTCATAAGAAGAGCTTCAAATTGACTCTAAATTTTTTTAAATTCACTCTGCCGATGCAAAGTTATCACTGATTGAAAATTATAGCACACGTCTTCGAAGTTTTCAGACGGAAAAATTATTCTTTGGTCTGTTCTGACTAAAAATTATGCGATTTGAATAAATTTTTAGGTTTTCGTACCTCATAAGAAGAGCTTCGAATTGACTCTAATTTTTTTTAAATTCACTCTGCCAGCGCCGAGTTATCGACGATGAAAAATTTTCGCGCGCGCCTAAGAAGCTAAGAAGCTATGGACAAGAATACAATTTCTCAATTATTTTATTTTATTTTTATCAAAACCTGTGTTATTTTTTTTTCTATTCTCCGTGAAATCAGCCGAGGTATTATTTTTGACCCCATAATTTTCAAGGGTAAATGCCGCTGTTTATACCTTTCGTGCCCGCCCGAAAAGAATTCTTATTAACGACTGGAAATACCCTAAGTCACCCGGCTCTCGATCCGTTGGCTCGCAGCCAGTCCGGAGGTGCCACATGGCCCGTACCTCGAAAAAAAAAAAACAGATATCGATGATCCACGAGTGACCAATGTGAGCCACATCTACAGTTGACGTGTTATCGGAGAAAAAAAACATTTCTCTTTCAGGAAAATCCATTTGGCAACTCGTACTGGAACAATTCGATGACCTTCTAGTTAAGATTCTCTTATTAGCCGCTATCATATCTTTCGTAAGTATAACTAAAGCCCATAAGTACAACTAAACTCTCCGTCCCCACCCGATCCTCTGAAAAGATTCCAGACTAATGGAAAAAATTCTCGATGACCCCCTCAGGTATTAGCTTTATTTGAAGAGCACGAGGATGCATTCACAGCGTTTGTTGAGCCCTTCGTAATCCTCTTAATTCTAATCGCCAACGCGGTAGTAGGTGTCTGGCAAGAGCGTAACGCCGAATCTGCCATTGAAGCACTGAAAGAATATGAACCCGAAATGGGAAAAGTTGTGCGAAGCGACAAATCGGGTGTCCAAAGGATTCGCGCCAAGGAGATTGTACCCGGTGACATTGTCGAGGTCTCCGTTGGTGACAAAATTCCCGCTGACATTCGTCTTATCAAGATCTACTCCACAACAATAAGAATCGATCAGTCTATCCTTACCGGTGAATCAGTATCGGTCATAAAGCACACAGACCCAGTGCCAGATCCCCGAGCCGTGAACCAAGACAAGAAGAACATTTTGTTCTCCGGTACAAATGTAGCTGCTGGAAAAGCGCGTGGTGTTGTAATGGGTACAGGCTTGAACACAGCCATAGGAAAGATCAGAACTGAGATGTCTGAGACTGAGGAAATTAAGACACCCCTGCAACAGAAACTCGACGAATTCGGTGAACAATTGTCAAAGGTTATCTCGGTGATTTGCGTCGCTGTCTGGGCGATTAACATCGGTCACTTCAACGATCCAGCGCACGGTGGCTCCTGGATCAAGGGAGCTATCTACTACTTCAAGATCGCTGTGGCCCTCGCTGTCGCTGCTATCCCCGAAGGTCTCCCCGCTGTCATCACAACTTGTCTCGCCTTGGGAACCAGAAGAATGGCCAAGAAGAACGCCATCGTGCGCTCTCTGCCGTCAGTCGAGACCCTCGGCTGCACCTCAGTCATCTGCTCCGACAAGACAGGAACCCTCACCACCAACCAGATGTCTGTCTCCCGAATGTTCGTTTTCGACAAGGTCGAGGGCAATGACAGCAGCTTCCACGAGTTCGAGATCACCGGCTCCACCTACGAACCCATTGGCGATGTCTTCCTAAAAGGACAGAAGGTCAAGGGCCAGGAATTCGAGACCCTCCACGAAATCGGAACAATCTGCATCATGTGTAACGACTCAGCAATTGACTTCAACGAGTTCAAACAGGCATTCGAGAAAGTTGGTGAAGCAACTGAGACAGCTCTCATTGTTCTCGCTGAGAAAATCAATCCCTTCGGCTGCTCCAAGACCGGACTAGACCGCCGTGGAGCTGCTATCGTTGTTCGTCAGGATGTCGAGACAAAATGGAAGAAGGAGTTCACCCTTGAGTTCTCACGTGATCGTAAATCAATGTCGTCTTACTGCGTTCCTCTCAAACCCTCGAAACTCGGAACTGGACCCAAATTGTTCGTCAAAGGAGCGCCTGAAGGTGTTCTCGAGAGGTGCACACACGCTCGTGTTGGAACAAGCAAAGTACCCCTGACGTCGACCCTCAAGAACCGAATTTTGGACCTAACCAGGCAGTACGGAACCGGAAGGGACACACTTCGCTGCTTGGCCCTGGCCACCGCCGACCACCCGATGAAGCCCGACGACATGGACCTCGGCGACTCCACCAAATTCTTCACATACGAGAAGGATCTTACGTTCGTGGGAGTTGTTGGTATGCTTGATCCACCCAGGAAGGAAGTTTTCGATTCAATCGTCAGGTGCAGGGCAGCTGGCATCAGGGTTATCGTCATCACTGGTGACAACAAGGCAACTGCTGAAGCCATCTGCAGGCGCATTGGAGTCTTCACTGAGGACGAAGACACCACTGGCAAATCCTACTCAGGAAGGGAATTCGATGATCTACCTCTGTCAGAGCAGCGGGCTGCTTGCGCTCGTGCCAGATTGTTCTCACGCGTCGAGCCCTCTCACAAGTCCAAGATCGTTGAGTTCCTGCAGAGCATGAACGAAATATCCGCCATGACTGGTGACGGTGTCAATGATGCGCCTGCCCTCAAGAAGGCGGAGATTGGTATTGCCATGGGATCTGGCACAGCTGTCGCCAAGTCAGCTTCTGAGATGGTTCTCGCTGATGACAACTTCTCGTCCATCGTCGCTGCTGTTGAGGAGGGCAGGGCTATCTACAATAACATGAAGCAGTTCATTCGCTATCTCATTTCCTCGAACATTGGAGAGGTCGTCAGTATCTTCTTGACAGCTGCACTTGGACTTCCTGAGGCACTCATTCCTGTACAACTGCTGTGGGTCAATCTCGTCACTGATGGTCTTCCTGCTACTGCTCTTGGATTCAATCCACCTGATCTTGATATTATGGACAAGGTAGGGATTATGGGATTTGGGGGTTTGCGGGTGATTATTCAGGTTGTCATTTGGTTTTCTAGCCACCGCGTAAAGCTGATGAGTCGCTGATCTCGGGCTGGCTGTTCTTCCGTTATCTTGCCATTGGTGGGTATGTCGGCGCAGCTACTGTCGGCTCGGCAGCGTGGTGGTTCCTGTATAGTCCGAGTGGACCTCAACTCAACTACTATCAGCTGGTACGTAGTCTTTGTCGAGGGGTGATCACTGAGGGAATGATCATTATTTTTTATCACCAACGACATTGATGACCTTTCATGGTGTCCTTTATCCAGATTCGATATTCCTTTTTTGAATTCATTGTTTATAATGAAGTTATTTCTCTGTGTTATAAAAATCCAAGTCGACTTCTGGGGATAACAATTTGGTAGTTGAAATTAAGACTAAAATTAAGGGTTACAAGGGTCAGATTAAAGGTCACCAAGGTCATTATTATTATTATAACCTTTTTTGTAGAGCGAATTGAGAGCTACGAAAAAGGTCACATCGACAATTCTGGAGATATTCCTTAATTTTGGAGATATTCCTCGAAAACTCAGCTCAAACGATAAATGAAAAAAAATTAATTTAATTCAATTTAATTATAAATTATTATTATTATTATTAAATAATAATAATTTTTAATGATAATAAAATTAAATTATGTATAAAATGACCATTCGCAAGTATTATTTTATTTTTTACTTCAACCAAAGATTTAATATGAATGTTTATCAATGAAATTTGGGTATTTTCAGACTCATCACTTGTCCTGCATCGGTGGTGGTGACGAGTTCAAGGGTGTCAACTGCAAAATCTTCACTGACCCTCATCCCATGACCATGGCTCTCTCTGTTCTTGTCACTATTGAAATGCTTAACGCCATGAACAGGTGAGTTTTAAAGGAATTTAGATCTTGAGGAGTTGAAGTAGTGCTTTTTTAACGAGCTATTTTATTTTGCAGTTTATCTGAGAACCAATCGCTCATTAGCATGCCACCGTGGTCCAACATGTGGCTCATTGCCTCCATGGCTCTTTCATTCACACTTCACTTCGTCATTCTTTACGTTGAAGTTCTTTCGGTGAGTGATAAATTTTTTTTTTCATCAAGTTTAATTAATTTAAATTAATTTAATTCATTTTATATTAAGTTTGAGGGGGATGGAAGCGGTGGAGGGGCTTGAAATCAATCTCATGAGATAAATGGGAATTTTTCTATGAAATTAAAAAAAAAATCGTCCATTTAAGTTGAATTAATCGATGAATAATGGAAAGTAATTTCAATGTTTCAGGCTGTGTTCCAAGTTACTCCCCTCAGTGGTGAAGAGTGGGTAACAGTAATGAAGTTTTCAATTCCAGTTGTACTTCTTGACGAGACCCTCAAGTTCATCGCCAGAAAAATAGCAGACGGTGAGAGTCCAATTTACACCGCACACTGGATCGTTCTAATGTGGGCCGTGTTCTTTGGACTATTAATAGTTTGCCCAATCTAGAGAGTTGATTTTCTCATTTTAAATAGCCAGGGTTTACAATAATTAATTGAAAATAACTAGCTTAATGACCTGATGAAGAAGAAGAAGAAAAATGAAAAAAATGAAATGATAAAAATGCAAAAAATGCAAAATCGTCAGCAACAGATGAGCGAATATTTCCTATGGAAAAAGGCATTCCGAGGGAATCTTGGACTTGCAGCTGCATTTAATCGAGTGAAAAAAAATAATAATTGATGCATAAATAGCATAAACGAGAGATCAAGGAAGGAAGAGACATTTTCTTTTTCTCAAAAAACAAAAAAAAAATTATTAACGAAAGTGTGTTTAAGTGAGATTTTTTAACCAGTTTTCTTTCATCTCTCCATCTGACTGTGAAAAAAGCATGGTGTTAGTCAGTGCAAACGATAAAGAGTCTTCATTCTGTGATTAAATGAAGTTAATTAGGAGAAGAAATTTAAAAAAAATAACCACTCAGTTCGTGGGGGGAATGGGTGGCAACTGTCGTTCCCCAAATGTCGATGAGAAAAACTGGAAAATTTATGATTTCACTTAATGACAGAATCGATTAAATTGTCATAATGACAATTAGATAATCATAATTATTGTAATTGTGTGAATCCGTTATTTAATGTTCCATCTGTTCCCCTGAGTGTTTGAATCAGCCCCCGCCCTCATCCCCCCCCCCCAAATAATTGAATCTAATAGTTTAATTAATTATTTTATACGAGTGCCTTCGAAGAGAGACGTTTCATTCCCATTTATTGACATTTAATCTTCCCATTAGTTCGATGATTCGATTTTTCGCACAATATTTCAAAAATAATTGATAATAAAATTTTTTTCTGAGTAAATTGAGATGAGGCGCTGACTAAATCGCATGCCAACTCACCGATGTCTTCTCTGATTTGACGTAATGAAGATTATTGCCTGATTCAACAGTAGTTTTTTTTATATAAATACAGGTGGATTAGACGTAAGAATGATTAATTAATTGAAGTTGTAAATATTGAGGTGTAGTGGGAGAGTAAATGCTGTACATTTGTAGCTTTTCGATGATTTTTATTTGGATTGGGTGGAATTAGTCGGTGAATGCATCGGTGAATTTATCAAACGGGTCTTAGGGTTTTTTCGTGTTTTTTTTTCGTTTTTTCATCGCTTTGAAATTTTTTTGGCGATGAGGGGGAAAATTGAATTTTTTGAGAGTCGTTTTCGCTGGTTTTGGGGGGAGGGGGGGGGGGNGGTTTCATTGGCGTCAGTCGATGGATCGCGAAATTCTCTACAGAACTAACAAAAAACTTTGATTTTAATCGAATCGTTCTCTCAAAACTTAAAAAACAAAATTTTCTATCCAAATACTTTTTTCGAGGATTATTAAAAAATTGATGAGGCAAAATGGGATTTTTTTTTATATTGATAGTAAATTTCTCGAACTTTGTGATGAATTAGACTTCATCCGTTTAACTAACCCCTCGTGAAATACATTAAGAAATGTTGAGGAATTTTCATTTTCTCTTGACCAAAAAAAAAATGAAGAACAGAAATTTCTCAAATTTCTGTTTTGGTGTTGACTTTTTAGGGAGGGGAGTTTGATTAAAAGGGAGGCAGATGATTAAAAAACTAATGGGGCAAAATGGACAATTTTTTTATGTCATAATAAATTTCCCGAACGTTGCGATAAAATCAGTTTTATCTGCTCAACTCCAGCCCCTCGTGAAATACACAAACAGCGAAAAAATTCAATTTTCCCTTCACCTAAATAATCGAAATGTTCTTATATTTCGATAATCACCCCTAAAATGCGTGAAAAATAAATGATCCCAAGGAGATTCATTGAGGACTGACGTTTGTAACTCCCTCAGCACATACTTTCCTCATCCCAAAACCGAATCGTCTTCCGAAACGCCAAAAGAATTAATAATAATGAAATGCTGTTGCATGCAAATAGTTTTTCCCCACCCCAATTCCCTCTGTTCTTTCGCTCTCAGTTTTGTGCGACCGCTGAATGAAAACACTGAATAAAGACCGATAAGATAAATAGTGTAAAAAAGAGTCATCGGTAAGTGCAGGTAATTCCCACAGGGAAATGCGAATTTTCCTGATATTTCGTCGAGAATTTCGGTTTTCTATTTGTCCCATTCCCTTCGTGCTTGTAATTAAAAAATTTTGTCGTCGATTTTTTAATACTTTAATGGACTATTGTTCTCTCCTTGACATGTACTTATGTGTGATTACAATTTTTCCCGTTTGATGTGTGTATTTTATCTCTGGGTTTTTATTTTTTTTAAGGGAGTAATAGTGATTTCAATGAGTGCTTGCCATCCTCCGTCGAGTCGTTAATTCAATGGACGTTTTAGGACCATTTTATCATCGATTGTCATTAATTGCGAGGTAATCCTCAGAATTAGTGAGTAATTCCGCATAATAGAGAGGTGGTAACACCTGTCGTTAGGAAATTATTCCTGTTTTCACGAGTTACATTAATCGGAAATTTATGATTGAATATTGAGGGGAGGTGCGAGGAATTGAATTACCGTTAATTACAGTCATTTATTGTATCCCTGGAGCACTGAGAAGACTGAGTAAACGTCGGTGAATGTTAATAATAACGTAAACACGAAGAGAATTGATGAGGAAATTAGTTGATTGATCATGTGAAAAAAATGGAAATTCGTGAAACGGTTTTTCGGGGGTAGCTCGGTGGGGAGTCGGTTGAGGGGAAATAGTTATGGGAACTTTTTGCAGGGAATTGAATTCTCTACAGAAAATTTCTTGTGACTTTTTTTTGATAGAGCCACTTGTTAATCAGGTATTGAGCGTTGAAGTGTTTTGAAAATTTCGATAATGGGAAACATTGGATTGGATGACTTTTGGTAATTAGGGATTTATCTTGGTAATGAGTGGGTCTAGGGGAAAGTGTCACAGGAACTTTTTGTAGGAAATTAAATTCTCTACAAAAAATGTTATACAACATTTTTGGCTACAACCAATCGTTGACGAGATAACGAACGTTTTTTTCAACGAAAATAGATAACATGAACTCGGATAATAACGAAACCACAACTCTACTGATTACGCTGTAAATTAATTTATCGGATTGTGGTTGAGGCGTGGTACTTCTGGTATTTTGATACGGGCATAACGAAACTTAATTAGTTAATAATTGAATAGAACAGTTTGACGAATTTAACGCGTGCAATATCACTCGCGAACACAGGAATGAAATGTGAAGCAATCAGAAGTGAATTACGAATTGTCGGGGTTGAAAATATTTTTATCGACAACTCGGAGAAATTTCCGGTGGAAAACACCCCCGGATGACCCATTTATCTATCCAACTTCTCGAGAAAACACGGGAACAACTTTTCAACTTGTTTTCGCTGTCTCTTCTTGTAGTGGGGTAAAACGGGTGTCGTATTGTGTTTTCCAGTAGAAATTTTACGTTGACAGTTTCGAGGATTAGCGAAGGAAGAGTGGAATTGATGGTTTTGTGATGGAACGGTTAAACATGATTTCATGAATGAGGAAATATTTCGGTAAGGAGTGGATTTAGGGGAAAATGTTCCGCAAACTTTTTGTAGGAAATTAAATTCTACAGAAAAAACTCCTCTGATGTTTTTGTCTAGAACCACTCATTAAGGAGATAACGAAAGTTGAAGCAGATTTTTACCAATTGAGAAAACTTGAAAATGTCAAGTTGGACATTCTTGTTAAAAGTTTGTTTATTTCGTTAATAAGTGGATTCAGGGGAAAATGTCCTGGAAACTTTTTGTAGGAAATTAAATTCTACAGAAAAAACTCCTCTGATGTTTTTGTCTAGAACCACTCATTTAGGAGATAATGAAAGTTGAAGTAGATTTTTACCAATTGAGAAAACTTGAAAATGTCAAGTTGGACATTCTTGTTAAAATTTTGTTTATCTCGTTAATAAGTGGATTCAGGGGAAAATGTCCTGGAAACTTTTTGTAGGAAATTAAATTCTACAGAAAAAACTCCTCTGATGTTTTTGTCTAGAACCACTCATTTAGGAGATAATGAAAGTTGAAGTAGATTTTTACCAATTGAGAAAACGAAAATGTCAAGTTGGACATTCTTGTTAAAATTTTGTTTATCTCGTTAATAAGTGGATTCAGGGGAAAATGTCCTCGAAACTTTTTGTAGGAAATTAAATTCTCCGGAAAAAACTCCTCTGATGTTTTTGTCTAGAACCACTCATTAAGGAGATAATGAAAGTTGAAGTAGATTTTTACCAGTTGAGAAAACTTGAAAATGTCAAGTTGGACATTCTTGTTAAAATTTTGTTTATCTCGTTAATAAGTGGATTCAGGGGAAAATGTCCTCGAAACTTTTTGTAGGAAATTAAATTCTCCGGAAAAAACTCCTCTGATGTTTTTGTCTAGAACCACTCATTAAGGAGATAATGAAAGTTGAAGTAGATTTTTACCAGTTGAGAAAACTTGAAAATGTCAAGTTGGACATTCTTGTTAAAATTTTGTTTATCTCGTTAATAAGTGGATTTAGGGGAAAATGTCCTCGAAACTTTTTGTAGGAAATTAAATTCTCCGGAAAAAACTCCTCTGATGTTTTTGTCTAGAACCACTCATTAAGGAGATAACGAAAGTTGAAGTAGATTTTTACTAATTGAGAAAACTTGAAAATGTCAACTTGGACATTTTTGTTAAATGTTTGTTTATCTCGTTAATGAGTGGATTCAGGGGAAAACGTCCTGGAAACTTTTTGTAGGAAATTAAATTCTCCGGAAAAAACTCCTCTGATGTTTTTGTCTAGAACCACCCATTAAAGAGATAACGAAAGTTGAAGTAGATTTTTACCAATTGAGAAAACTTGAAAATGTCAACTTGGACATTTTTGTTAAATGTTTGTTTATCTCGTTAATGAGTGGATTCAGGGGAAAACGTC